CAACTATAAATACAATCAACGAAATATTGAGCAACATTAGTACTTTAAAAAACATTACGTTAGAAAAAGAAGATATAGGTCCAAAAGAAACAAATAAGAATGAAAAATGGATGGTCAAAAAAAAACAGGTGATGGACAAAAGAAGATCATTTACAAACAGAGAATTATGTGGAAGAACAAAAAAAAATAAAAATGATGATACTGTCGCATATAATTACCACTTGCTCTCCTACTACTTCCAGGAACCCGCAGATCAGCGGTTATTTGTATTAGATGATTAAAATGTTCACGTTGAACATGACCAAACCATCCTAACCTAAGCTATCTTTGGTAACAATTAGTATAACCCTTAGACTTTCTCTAATACACTCATTACTATTTTTATCCTTTTTTGTCACTCCACTCATCTATCTAAGCAGTTTCATTTGCCTACATGCTGTTTTATAGAATTTTCCTTTCAGCTTCATTCGAATTTTTCTGTCACACAACACAGCACTCACTTCTTTCCTTCATCCATCCAACCCTAATTCTACTTGCATGCATCTCCATCTATTCCCCGATTACTCTGTAACACCGATCCTTGGTACTTAAAACTACTTTTCACAATCATTTCACCATCCAAATATATCATCACCAAGAGTCAAAGATGTAATCCATCTTCTTTATAATAGAGAAGTTCCCCTAAATATTATAAAAAAATATCTACTTAAACAACAAAATGGAAATGCTTTGGCTTTCACGGCCATCGAAGGCTTTCAAGGCTTTCAAAGCCATACAAGCGTGGTGGAACAGCTTCGCTGATGCATATTCTTGGCTTTGTTTCCTCTGGTATGGACGAAGATTTTATAACTCTATTGAGTTTCCGTAGGGTGACTGCTTTGAAATCTGCTTGTGGGATACAAGCCAAGGGTATTGTTTAGGTACGTCGATGACACTTTTGTGATTTGGTCACGGAGTAAAAAAACTAACGATTTCCTGTCTTATATAAACACACTTCACCCAAATATTCAATTTACGATGGAAACAGATAAAGATCAACAACTAGCATTCCTAGATGTATTGGTAAATCGAAAAAAAGGATATTTAGGACATAAAAGTGTATCAAATACCTAAACTAGATACCTAAACAGGAACTCAAATCATTATCCAGGACAAAAACAAGGTATCATCAAAACTCTGGCGGAGAGGGCGAAGAGAATTTGTGAACCACAGCATCTGCAAAGTGAATTTCTTCATATTGAAAAACGCTCACCTCTAATGGTTATACCAGAAGGGAAATACATAAAGCAATTAACAACGTTTCTAGAGGAAAGGACGAAGAAACAGCATGGATAGGCAAAGCGTTCTTGCCCTATATATCGGGGGTAAGAGACAGAATTGGGCGAATATCTAAAAAAACCAATTTAAAGACCATTTTCTGACTGCCAATGAACAAGCAGAATTGCTTTTAAAGAGGAGGAAGAAGAAGAAATATATCATCCTCTTTGTACTAACTCCATCTTCAAAAAAAACATTCCAAATACTCCTGTTTTTGTCCTACAAGTTTTAAACATTTTTCCTTAAGAGCTTGTCTCCACTGTTCCAGTTTTTGTTCTAAGTAGCTTACATTATTTTCTACTAACACTATCATCAACATAGATTATTAAATGACTAAATAAAAAACGAATGCTACTTAATATGAACCTTAAATACTTACTCGTAATGCATTCCTTCAAACGGAATGTTATTGTGTTCGGCACACTGCTGTGCTCTGTAATCAGCAAGGTCTGGACAATCCTAGAGGAAAAGGGAAATTATAATTATTAATTAAATTTATTTTGGCAGTGTAAAAATACGATACAGTGTTGTCGCAGTAGTTGAACTTGCACATTGCCGTTATCCTTTCTCCTCGACAGTTGATCTCGCCCATTCGGCACGCAGGCGGCTATTCAACCGGAGTCAGACAAGTCAGTGTGGCTGTGAGTGTTTGTCTTGTTACAACTATTTGTTTGGTACATCCCGTATTGTCATTAATTACTTATTATGCCCAAGCATCAGTGCAAGCTTAAGAAAGAGTACATACTTCAAAGAATGGAAGTACAGTAAAAACGGACGCTATGACAATGAAGCAGGGTGCACAGTTTGTAGGTACTACCTTAAATGATCATAACTGTTTTGGGTATTTCTCATTGTGGATGTTCAGATATAAAACAACACATCGCATTAGTGCAACATATGATTAGACTGAGTGTTTCAAGTATCAGTAAGTCTTTTGAAAATTATTTTAAACAAGTGTTGAAACTTTTAGACTCTGCAATTAGATCTAAGTTTAGATCATGAATGTGCTGCTTGTATGAGTCCATTTCAAATAGGTAAAGAAATAATAAATAAGACTCACAATCAATTTAATTTAACTATCCAGATGACCGGTTTTGCTTTCTACAATATGCAAAGCATCTTCAGGTCTCGATATAAAGTTAAATAAATGATGCCGGTAATCTATTAATTGATGGATGGTAGAACATGGTTGAAACTATCATGTATTGTTGAATGGAGAACTTAAGTCTGCTATTGTAGTTCTTTGACAATAAACGGGAAGTTCTTGATGAGATAGATTTGATCCAATGAAGTAGAGATAGATGTAATGCGATTGTTTGTTAGATGAAAGTGATGTTCTATACCATTGTATTATTTAAAAGTTATTTATACTTATTCAAGAGATATATTTATGAAACGTATGTTATTTATTGAGTATTTATTTTATGAAGGTGACAGTTTTATGACAATGAATAAGATTAGATGTACAAATTGTGTGGGTGTGCAATTCTTTCAACTTGTAATTATCAAATTCCTTTGATAAAGTTCTATTGGTAAAATGGTAAATTATTGCAAAGTCAAGTATATAAAATTATTAAAGTTAAAACCATTAAGGACAATTTAAACACACAGAAACAGAAAACACTTAGAAGGGACGAAACAAACATTAAATTTAAAAAGGGGGAAGAATATAAGAAGAAGAATAGTCTAAGACAAGAAAACTGAAATATAGAGTGTATACACACTTAGAAAATAATTCACAGAGACGATAATTTCAGGCAAGCGACCGCACTCAACGAGAGGCCACCGAGAAGTCTCACGAGATAATCGACCTGTGCTCAACGAGAGCCCACCGAGAAGTCTCACGAGATAATCGACCTGTGCTCAACGAGAGCCCACCGAGAAGTCTCACGAGATAATCGACCTGTGCTCAACGAGAGCCCACCGAGAAGTAAGTTGGTTCCACTAAAAATTTCACCAACTATCCAAGAAAAAAGAAGAAGAAGGTATATCCCCACTTAAAATCATCGGACAGTCGTAGGTAATTCTGAGGAAGTAAAAATTCTGAAAGTTTTGAGTTACCGGTACCAACAATTGGACATGAGAAGCAGACAATACTTGGGATTAAGTTATTGTCAAAAGATACGGGCCTTCGGCGAAAATTATCAATTTATGTAAAAGAACCTGCATACCCAAAAGCATTAGATCTTTTCATACTGAGTATTAAGACGGAAAGGATTAACTACCTTTAGTAATTAGGGAAGTCCATTATAATTTAGTAGATCCAATATTATTTTCTTATCGTAAACACGGGAATTCCTAATCATAGGCGTATCGCACGGGGGTAAAAGAAATTAAAAATAATTAATATTTTATAATAAAAAAAAATATTACAGTGTCTATAAATTGTTCAGAAAAAGTTAAAAATGTTTTTTCATGGTTCTCATAAATAATTTCTATAGCATCTAGGTTCCTCTGAGTTTTTCTTGTCCATATTCTAGCAGATTTTCAATACCCATAATATCCGATACTGTATCCGATTACTATATTACTGATACGGCATTTCGTCAATACTGAAAATGACACTATCTCAGAGATAAACCGCAGAATTCGCACGGCTAATAGATGCTATTTTGGGCGTAATTTCCTATTTAAATCTACAGTTATATCAAGAAATACAAAAGTAAAACTCTACAAAACAATAATACGCCCAGTCCTAACATATGGTTCAGAAACCTGAACTTTAACAAAAAGCAATGAAAACATGTTAAGATGTTTCGAAAGAAAAATAATAAGGCGAATCTATGGAGCGGTAAATGAAAATGGTGTCTGGAGAAGACGATACAACTTCGAACTCTATAGAATATACCAGGAACCAGATATCGTAAAACACATTAAGATAGGACGTGTGAGGTGGATAGGCCATGTAATGCGGATAGGCCATGTAATGCGGATAGAGCAAACCGACCCAGCTAGAAAAACGCTTCTTGATAGACCTATTGGTCAAAGAAGAAGAGGAAGACCCAGAACAAGATTCCTAGATAACATAGACCAACATATGAGAAATATGGAAATACGTGCTTGGCGGAGGAAGGTGATGGATAGGGACGACTGGAAGAGAATTCTTGGGAAGGCTAGGACCCACACAGGGTTGTAAAGCCAAAATGATAATATCCGATAAAAACAACCTTAGACTCTAGGGAGACCGACTACAGCTTCGTGGCCGGATCGAATACCTCGGTGTAGTGTTTACTCAAACATTGAACTGGAAGAGCGCTCTGGACATAGTCTGAAACAAGCCTAGGAGCAGACTCAGACTACTCAATGCTCTTTGTGGTAAATTCGAAAGAACACATCCACGATCACTCATACACCATATAAAACATTTATCAGGCCGGGCATCGAGTATAGATCCGATATCTATATTACGGTGCGCGACCATTTCACACAAAAACTACTAGCATTGGAGAGGAGAATCCTGCGTAGAGTGAATAACAAGCGACACGATTACCACCCCGCCCTTATACATCACCTGTTGAACATCGAGTCCATCGATGAGATGTTTTCCTCTGTAAGCAATAGTTACACAATCAACATCATCCGTGACCAGAACTTCAGATCCCAAAGCATTCTAAAAACTACCTGTTTATCTATCGGCAATGTATTCAGAAGAAAACCTAAACCCAAAATCCCTTTCCTTTCTGAAATTTTACTGAAAGGACCGTTTAACCAATGCTCCTTTCGTTTCTAATTGTCCAGTACGCTCCTTTGATGACAAGCCAAAACAAAACACCAGTGAAACACGAAGCCAGAAAGAAACAGCCACCACAAAAAAACAAACCACGTCCTGAAGAGGTGGAAAATCTAAAACAAGACAACAAAACACCAGACCAAAGAAAACACCCACAGAGAGTAGCAACTTACAATGAACTACTAGAGAAAGCAGAGTTCTGATGGAGTATTGGTCTGACAACAACTCCACTGGCCCTAGGTTATTGACTGAAGGCCAACCGCTTCTACTAGAGTATTGATTTAGAGGTAGTTCTGTATCCGATCTTAGAGTATTGATCTGAGACATACTTATTCTCTCCTCTGTCCAATTATTGATTGGACACCGTCTGTTCCTCGCCGGGCCGAGTTTTAATTGGCCCCCTCCATCTCTACTCCTTCGACCCTTTCCCTACAGTCTGTGTTCTAAATGTAAACGTATTAACACAGCATAATTACCGTTTCGATTTAATATCATTAATTATATTTTGTTTTTTTCAGATAAGAAACAGTGGATCATACAACTGTGGATGTTGTCGTCGCCAGGATTGACGCTCTTAATTTTTCTTGTATATATTATCTAAAATATAATTTTAATTTGTTATTTATTTATTTCGAATAAATTTTTATTTAATTTAAACCTGAGTCTGCTATCTACAAGAGCTACCCGTTATAAACAGTTCTAATGTTTCTCGTATTTAGCAAGTGTAGATATTCTATACGACGCTAACGAGATAAAAGACATCATTCTCTCCCCAGCGAAGTTCTACACCTCTTCATTTTGTTAATAGATTTTCATTCAAATAATTGTTATTTAATACTTATTTATTCGATTTGTATCTACTAAATAGTTTTTTCCTTTATTGTTTGAAAAACGAGGCAATAACTTTTAGGGCCTATTTTTTAAAACTACGTTTTGTACATAAGGACTGTTAAAAGTAGGACAAGCTATTTTATTGTTCTCTTCATGTGGTACCATTGTCGAAGTGAATTACAAGCCTGCAGTCGGCTCAACAAAAGACAAGCCACTAGTAAACCATGTGGTAATAGGGCGTTAATAAAAAATATGTGTTGGACCATGACTAACGTAACAACAGTGTTTTACGATGATGGAATTGATTTTATTCCTTTGTGCCTTTATAAGCTGTAAGTTTAAGAATGGGAGGTAACGATTTTTAAAAGGTTTTAAGTTACTTGTGTAGAATCTTCCTGCTACGGCCATTAAATAAATTAAAAAATAACGGACATGTATTTAGGCACGACGCGTGACAAGATTATATCAAATGTGATAATTTAATGTTTTTCACTATATGCGATGTAAAAATAGATGACAGTGGAAGTATGGTAATTAATTAAAATAATTTCGCCACAAAAAGCTAAAAACAAAACGTTTTCATAAACATGTTTCATTTGAATTACAAATCATAACCGATTTGTTCATAGATTATTACGTTTTTTCCATGTGAGGTTGTTAGTCCCTAGGATGTTTCACAGATATTGTACATGAAAAATTTAGGGTCGATTGTTCGAACGCTAATCAAAACTTGATTGCAATCAAACACTTAATTAAAATTAAATACGTCACATTTTAAGGTTATGTTAACTGATTTATTTTATTCAATTTTATTATTTTGCGTTTTAATTTAAAATAAACCACAATTAAACTCATTTTGGTGTTAATTTCATGATTTTATTTACAAATCAATAATAATAAGCAATTTTTAATAATTTTGACAGCTGCTGTGACGTATTTGATTGTAATTAAATATTTGATTACAATCAAGTTTTCATTAGCGTTTAAAATATTCTTTTTCTTCTTCGTGTGTTATGTTCTCCTAAAACAACAACTAATTTCATTATCTTGCATCTTCATTTAGTGCTGCTCGAAATTGTTTTAATTATAGGCTTCCATAAAGAAAACCTATATGTTTTCCGCATAAATTTTGGCGTGTTTTTTTAATTATTAACAATTTAGTGTAAAAAATGCCATTTTTTTAATTTTTTGCTTACCATTAAAAATCTTAATATTCAAGGTAAAATTGCAAAACTTTATATTTTAAACCATAAAAATAGCTGTAAAATAGCGACAGAGCGCCTTTTTTTGCAGTCACATTAGTCAGAAAATAATGAAGATACTTACAGTAATTCTACGCATAGCAAATAAAAGTTTACGAGATAAATTATTAATTTACATTGAAAAAAAAAATAAAAAAAAAAGATTTTTACAACTGGTTTAAAATTACGGTAATTTTTTATTTATAAACAATTAGAATAACTTTTATACTATTGCTCGCAGATAAAATCGTCTTTGACATTCAAAAAGCTGACTTTTTACACGAATTAAAAAAAATACATTCTACGAAAAATATACTTTCAAAGTTAGTTTTTTTTACATATGTTTATAGCAATTGAATCAGTGGGAAGACAAAGCGGACATGTCACAAAAATCAAATCAGCCGTAAATAAGAAAAAACTTTCTACTGGAAAAAACAACCCCATCCGAATCATTGCTCGTCTACCAAAATCCAAAAATTCTCAACCCAATTCAAACAATTCGCCAATCTTTCATTTAGTCATAGCCGGCGTTGCAAAAACCCTCTCTCAAAAAACCATCGAGGATAATCTATCCGAAAGCAATATCCCATCCACAAAAGTAGTTCGTATAATCTCCCGCTCCACCAACCAACCTACCTCCTATATCAGAGTATTCACTAACTCTGAAATAAAGTTCTCTGAAGCGCTTTCGAGTGGTATCTTGATCGAGGGTGAACGGTTGGCCTGTGAAATACCACGATCAGGCAACTCCGTGCGCATGCGATCGAAATATTGCTCGAAATGCTGCAAAAGCGGACATTTCAACAACGAATGCCCCGAAAAATCAATCATTTGCCCGTACTGCGGGCTCAGCCACCGGTCCTCTGCCTGCCCCACGATATCTGCTCCCAAATGTCCTAACTGTAACGGTCCTTACCCCGCATTCTCACCACGATGTCCTCACCGTAGCGCTCATCCAGCTAACTACGATCAAAGCCAACCAGTATACACAGAGAAACAAATCCCTTCCCATGACCTATCCACTGATATGAAATTCTTAATCCATTTCACATCCATGCTCCTATTCAACGTCTTCCCTGAAAAGCGAAGCGCAACAATCCGATTCCTAAACCAAACATCCAATACAATGTATGGATGTGCCATAGCCACTTCATGTACAAACAACCTCATAAACCAAACCCTTACCCACTTACCCATCTAAAAATACATCATACACATCATCACACACACATGCACCGAACACAAAATCCATCCTATACACACTTTACTTCCACTCCGCTCACAATCTCAAATAATAAATACCTAAATCCCACACTACACTCTAACCAGTAAACACACCACACTCTAACCAGTAAACACACAAAATTTCCACAAACATCTAACACATCATCTACACTGTGAGCACCTCACACACTCCTTAAGAGTCGATTAAATATCACAAGGACATGGGGAGATTGGTTTTCTGTGGTTTCCCAAATTCATTGCACAATGATACCTGATCCTAGGTAAGGATATAGCCACAGCTATCCTCCACGGTATCCTTCCCTATCCCTCTTCCGGAAAACGAAGCATAGAGCTTAAACAAGGTAAACACGCAGTTGATTGACCCCCAGTTATGGTTTTAGAAATTCCAGTGACGTCCAGTTACAGGAAATTCAAAGTGTTTTAGTGAGTGTAAATCCAGGTAACTTTTGTTTTAAATTTTAAACTAAAGACAGACATTTTTTTAAAATAATAATTGCTTTCGTTAAAATTTAAAAATGGTAACATTTAAAAATTGTAAATTTTAGGTTTTGAGTTTAGCTGTCAATTTAATTTTTCGTAGATTTAAACTTTAATGTTAACATAAGACAGCTCGCTTTATTATTTTTGATATTCATTTGTTTTGTTTGTTTAAAAAATAAAGGTTAACCTCTGTGCGGTAACATTTGTAAGTTTTTGTAGTATCTCCAACACCTTCAGTATGACCTCTCGGGGACCCTCAAGGGGACTATGACCAACCATAAAGGAGATAATGAACAATACATTTCGCCAAATATTAAAAAAAAACTAAAACATTTTATACCTACCCAGAAACGCTTACAAAATCGATATAATACTAATAATTAATGTAAATTGTATTGTGATAATTTGTATTAAAATAAATCATTCTTTCATATCTTGCTCTATTATCTTTAATTGGCGAGTGTAGAACTACTACACTATCAGTAACACTCACTGTAGCTGTAGGTTCAGAAGTGAAACTGAATCTTTTTGATGGCATATTTTTCTTTAAGAATCTGACCTCTCAATTTGTTTGATCCACATTATCAACTAATGCCACAAAATTTCTAACACGTTTTTTCATATCAACTTTAGAAAAAATGTAATCGTCTTTAGAAATCTCTGTATTTAGCCTTTCTTCTTCTAATTCGAAATTATCATCTGACGAATTATCGTTGTACTCTCGGAGTTTGATGATTCTTCCTGTAGGATTTTCTTCTTCTTTTGATGTGCCTATCCATTACTAATGTTGGCGATTAACATGACAATCTTTATCTTATCTGCAGCAGAGCGGAAAAGCTGCACAGATGTTGTATTGAACCAGATTCTGAGATTCTTTAACCTAGATGTTCTTTCTTGGATCTTGTAATAGTTCAAGGTTGGTTATTTTCTGACTCATGTGAGTTCAAATAGGAGGTCTCTGAGATAAACAAATAGAATAACTTTTAAACTAATTAATACATCGATCTGAAATTGTGAGGGTTTATTAAAAAACACAATATCCAACTTTGTGTGGAATAACAAATGCCTAGGTTGACTTTTACAATAGTTATAAACAAATAACGTTTTTGCTTTAGTTTGCAGTACTTGAAGCAACAAAAATAATTTTAACTTTTTAAAATCGCCATTTTACACCTTTTTAATGTTTTAAAAGATGAAGTTTTGTAATTTTACCTCAAATATTAAGCTTCTCGTAAGAAAAAAAAAAATCGAAAAAATGGCATTTTTCACACTAAATTGTTAATAATTAAAAAAAGACGCCGAAATGTATGTGGAAAACACATAGGTTTTCTTTATATAGGCCTGTAATAACTAAAAAAATTGTCAGATATCTGGATTAGTGAAAGTTCCAGAAATCTTATTCCCCGGTCTACTAGACATAAATACGATTAATTTAAAATAATTAAAGAGCAATTTGAAATATATACGAAACAATTAAAGAGAGTTAAACGAAGAGGGTAAACAACACCCATCCTTGTTCACTTTTTTATTATTAACTTTTTTAAGTACATTATACTGTTACTTCATTGTTGCTTCAGCGTGCCAATTTAACTTGTGACTATATTTTTTATAGATGATTTTGCAGCAGTCAAAATATTGTTTTGAGACCTCTTTTAATATCCAAAATAATTCAATCGATAAATTATAGCTTTTCTGTCCTGACTAACTTTTAATTGTAACTTCGACCAAAATTATCAATACGTGAAGTTACATTTCAAAACTGATTTCTTAAATTTATACGACATTTGGTTTAATTAATTAATTCTTCATTCCGTTTTCAATTAATTCAGTATTTAAAATCAGTGTTTAAAAGTAGAACACCTTTGCAATATTTCTTAATTTTATGATTCTTTGTTGGTTTCATAAGGTGATTATAGAGCTCTTCAGAAGAAAAATAGAAAAAATATTTGCAATATTTGTAGGAGACTCAGTAATACAATCCATTTCCTAATAAATCGAGGTGCTTATAGTGCTTATAGCACGGACATTTTATTGCGCAAACCATAGATATTAATCAGAATTGTTGATAATCCTGATCAGATAATTAATCATGATAAAATATAAATCTGATTATATTTAAAATATATACCTGTGTATTGCAGGAAAAAGTTCTTGCTGATGGTCCCCTGCAATCATATCCTTGTGTACATCTCCTAGTTTGAGTCGATACACCCCCACCACAAGTTCTGGAACACGGAACGGGTGCTGACCATTCTTCCCAGGGTCCCGACTCTGGATCATTGTTGTCTGTGACGAAACTGCCTGGAAGGTATAAGTTAGCGCCTTGCTGCCTTTTGAATCTGTCTTTGAAGTGGCGAATTTTCTGAAAAAAAAAAAATTATATCTGAAAAAACTCTTTAAAACCCTTTTAATAAATGATAAAAATCATATTGTACGTGAAAAGTATATGTATTAGCCCAAATTCTTATCTAAAAATGTTACAAAATAAAAGTGTAAAGGTTCTACAGAAGCAATATAGTGCAGCACAGAGTCCAGTTAGTGCATATACAACTCGTCTTTCTCTCGTATCTTTTGAACGTTTATAGTAATAATAGTGAAATTGACCAATAATTTTTAATGAAACCCTATGAAGTTATATTTTGTTTGAAAGGAATTAAAAATACCTATTCAATCAATATTAATATTAATTTTGTTTGGGTTTATGCTGATTTTGATGAATAAATCAAATAAACGCTAAAACTGTAGTTTGGCATTTAATTAATAAAGATTTAAGAACCAGTTCTCCCGTTAATATTCAAAATGTACTCCGTCTACTTCCTGGCAGTAATGCATCCTATTGCTAAACTCTTGTCGAACTTGTTCAAGTGTGTCAGGCGAAATTGCCTAACATTCTTCAACAATTCGTTGTTTCAAAATGTTAATACTGTCGGGTGCTGTAGCTTAAACCTTAGATTTCAACTACCCCCACTTAAAAAAATCTAATGGTGTAAGGTCTGGTGACCGAGCTGACCCTTATATCGAACATTGTCATTAAATCCATCTACCACAATATTCCTCATCTAGGTGCAGGAGCACCATCTTGTTGAAACGCTATTTCCAAGTTGCCGAATTCATTTGGATTATCTTCCAGAATCGTTATGAGATAAAATTCTCTTGGGAAAATAGTGTAGTGGTTTCCCATTGCTTTCTGCACCGCTGTATATGTACCGTTTCTGTGGCTATCATTCTCGCCGCATGATCAGTTTTGTAACAGCCAGCCGCCACTCTCCAACATATCGCCATGTCTCACTTTGTTTGTGTAGAAAAGTATGTAGTAGAAAGAAATATAGTGACCCATCTGCCCTCGGAAACCTAATAGCCACTCGGGGTCGGAAGGAATAAGAGTTAGACTAGAGAGTCTGATAGAAAAAATTAAAGACATTTCACTTAAGACTAGTTGAAAAAGAGTAAAATGTGAAGGCCCTTATGATGCGCCCGGTGCATTTCATAAACGTATGAGTATTGCTACACTTTGTTTTCCCGCTTATACTTCAGGGTGTTGACCACCGGCTACATGGCTGTCAAGCATGCTATAGCATGGAGTATAGGGTGCGCACAAATAAAGGGTAAAGATTTGTAAAAGGGTAAAGGTACAAGGCAACAAATCCTAAACTGAGATAACTCTTTGAAAAGTCTAGAGAATTTTAAGTACCTATGAATATATGCTTCATTGACTACCAAAAGGCATTTGCTTGTGTACGCTGGATAAATCTGTGGACCATTGTAATAGAAATGGGCCACAAATGCACCTAATGACACTTATTAAAAATCTGAACCAATCCAATATATGTAGCAACAGTACGACTAGATCAGAAGTTCTCAAACCAATTCAAGACCGAGAGAGGTGTTAGTACAAAGATGGGTGTTGTCACCTGACTTATTCAACATTTATGGTTAACATGATATGAGGATGGCTTTGGATGGATGTGCCGATGGAGTAACAGTGGCTGGTAGGAAAATCTCCAATTTAAAATTTGCTGAACGTTTCCATTCTAAACAAACTCGAGATTAAAACAAGGCTATCCACAATATGTCTGCAACGTATTCAGCAATTTCGGTCACGTGGTTTGCAGAGGTGACGATATTTTGGAGAGATTAATTGTTTCTGGAAACGTTTCGGGAGAAGATCAAGAGGACGATCACCAACTAGATAATCCGACCAAATTAAGAATTCAGCGGGAAACTCATTCTGCGAAGCTTTTAGAGTAGCTGAAGATGTCACCAATGGAGAAAAATAGTTAGGAATACTGGAAGAAATAGTTCCCAGTCAGAAATAGTAGCCAACACTCGATGGACTGTCCTTTGACGGATTCCGCAGATAGACGCAACTCGGGCTGTAGTAGAAGTAGAAGCTGTGATTCGTGGCGCTACTTCCGTGACGTATAGAAGCTTCGCTTCAAATAGTTTTTTAGCTGTTTTTTAGTTTGTAGGTTTTTTTATGTATCTTTTTAGGTTGAGTTTTTTTAATAAAGGAGATTTTTTGAGAAATTCTGAAAATAGTGTATTTACTTTAAATGCGCAGTTTTTCAAAACTAAACGTTCTGAATCAATTAAACTTCCAGAATATAATGAACAATAAACTGTAAATGCACAATCAAAAGGTTCAACCAGGATGGTTTTAGCGGGGGTGAGGTTATTATTTTTTGCGCCACAAAAAATATAAGCGGACTTATATTTTAGTTAAACTGTGTAGCATGTTAAAATTTTTTTAACTATGAAATATTTATGTATAAAATTTTCTAAAGATGTAAAGTGTGCAGTATCCCAATTTCAACCTGAAATAGTCATAGAATATTTTTCCAGTAAGATATAGTTTTTTTGATCGTGTGGCAGAGAAGGTAACCTCAGAAATCTTAGAGTGTATACAGTGAAATCCAGGTAACTTTTTTGTGTTAAAATTTGAAGTAAAAATAAACAGTTTAAAAAAATAATTGCTTTCATACAATTTAAAAATAATGTAATATGTATTTAATATAGTAAATCTTAGGGTGTGGCTATTCTGTCAATTTAATTGTTTTCTGTTGTCAAATTAAATGTTGACATAGGACAGCTAGCCTTAATTTGTTGTGACATTTTTTTATTTGTTTGTAGAAAAGGTTAACCTTTATGATATTTTCATTTATAAAGATAATTAGTTAATTTTAATAATTTATTTCTGCCACAGTTATAACTTAATAACAATTTGGAAAGTTTTTGTAGCGATTCCCAATTGTAAACAGATAGGACGTATGTAATTTTTTTTATTATTTATTTTGGTATAAACTCATGTAATTATATATTTTTTAATTACTTTTGATTACCTGTTTGTGTAACTGTTGGTTTGAGTTAAAAATAAATGTTTAATTCATTTCTCTGAACCATTTTGTCTTTTTATTTTAGATAAATCTCCTAACTCCTTTGTGTTTTCTTTATTTTAGGAAAGAGGAGTATTTTTTCCTATTTCCAGCAAGACTAGGATTCTTCGAAGCGGCGTCCTTCTTTCAAATAGCTAGAGGTTTTTTCTTGTTGTTTCTATTTGCCCATTTGTCCAGGAGATTTATGTAAGTACCCTCTTTTAGTTCATTTTTGTAGTTGCCCCAATCCGACCCCCTTGCCATTCACTTATCCATGACCCCAGCTCTCCACTTAAGGCCTGAGTGCCGTCCGCATAAGTTTCGTTTATTTTGCTTGCCCTATCTCTAGCCCAATAATTTCTGTCCCAATTTTCAACCCCCATAATCATACCCTATGTGGTATTCAAATATATTCGACAATACATTTTCATGTAAATAAATTAATTTTATCAGGGACCATTTTGAAGATTTTTAAGTTCTTTAAAAAGTTTCTATAAGTTTTCCATGAAAAACTTTCCGTGTTCGGTTTATTCAACGTCATATGTTTGGATTTTTATAGTCGATGAATAAAAGTCTACTTTCGAACAGCCAGAACTTTGTTAATATTAAGTTTACAGTAATAATAAATGTTTAAGCTTCATCCAATAAATTGTCCCGATAAAATCGAAATTTTGGAGTAATTCGCCAAAAACGGTTTAAAAGCATGCTTTTTATGAGTATAATTTGTGAAGTTTCAATCACAAATAACTACTAACTACTGTGTTTGTCTTAAAATTCACTATTCTAGCATTTTGCTGATAGCGTCTATAGCGCTTTGCTTCTAATGCTATTGAAAGGGGTGGGGGTGGATGGTCGGAATATCAGCAGTCCTAACAAAAATCTCTAAGGTCAGGTCACAGTATATTGCTTAAAAAGAATTCTTTTTAAAGCAATATACTGTGGTCAGGTTAAACCCTATTGCTTGCTCGCTTGCTTGTTTTTGTTTGTTTTATATATTGGTAATTTCGTTCGTTGTCACACCGTTTCTTTTTTAACTTCCTCGTAATGTCTAGTCTAAGTCGTCATTATGCTGTTTCAATAATAATATGGTATATAAATATTAGTATTATTTAATAGTACATATACCCATTCTATAAGATATTTTCTTCCAGTTTATTAGTGCATATACGTCGGTACAGGAAGAAAAGACCTACGTCATAGATCTATTAATCACAATAATCTCCAATCTGATAATTCTAAATTTGCCCTCACGAATAATAGTAATTGCCTGCTGTAATTGATTTGCAGATATCTATTTCTTCCTGACGTTACAATGATATAATTAGTGGAATACTATCAGGCAATTTAACTTGACAAACCAGTTGTCTCAAAGTAAGATCAATAGCAAAATTCAGACGTCCAGCAGACCGTTTAAAAAGTAGACGTTGCCTAGACGGAACTCCGTATACAGCAACTAATCACGACCAGATGGCGAAGGAAAAGGAAGTGGCTAAACAACCAATATACGGCTATAATTTTTTATTTATTCATAGTTATTTCAAGACTAAAATGATGACATATTTGTCAAACATCTCACAACAAAAATCTTTACATGCAGACGGCTGGACTAATGCGAAATGAATTGTTATAGGTTCAAAGAAACATAAAACTCTATTTATAGAATAAGTATGTTAAGAGCCGTACATACCAGAGTTAATTTGCTTTTGTGTGCTTTTATTTTCAAGAAAATAATACTTTACAACTAGAACGAAACAGTAACGATGATATTGTTTAAAAATGTAGACAAATAATATCTAATGAATTACAAATAGACAAACTTAATAAATCTAAACAGTTGCTTTCTCCTTATCTCAGTCCATTCTCTGATATTTTTTAAACAAAAAGCTTGCTTTTTATCAATACCTCGTCCTCCTTCATAATTAGTTAAAAAATATTATAGCGACTTCCCCGTAGTATGCGTCCAAGACATGCTATTTTTACAGATTTGTCGCTA